CCTTAGCAACTTCGTGGCCTCCTCTGGACTTGCTCCAACAGTTCCATGTCCTTCTGATGTTGAGGACACCGGAACAGTGTGCAGTATTCCAGGTGGGTCTCAGGAGAGCAGAGCAGAGCGGAAGAATCACCTTTTTTGACCTGCTGCCCACACTCCTTTTGATGCAGCCCAGGATTCCATTGGCTTTCTGGGCTGAGCTCACAGTGCAGCTCATGGGGAGCTTCTCATCCACTGTCACTCCCAAGTCCGTCTCCTCACTTCTGGTTTCAATTCCTTCCCCACCCAACCTGTAGCTGTGCCTGGGATTGCCATGGCCCAGATGTAGGACCTTGCACTTCATTTTGTTAAACTTCATGAGGTTTGCATTGTTCCACCTCTCAAGCCTGTCAAGGTCCCTCTGGATGGCACATCCCTTCCCTCCAGCATGTTGACTGCCCCCCATTCATTTACAGACTAACAGTTGTTCTTTCTAATTTAATACATCTGTACACATATAGCTTTACTTTAAGCCTCAGTTTCCCTTCAAGAGTTAAAAATACCCAATTTTCCCAGCTGTTCATCACTCCCAAACTGCAATTTATCAGTGCTAGATTGCAGACTGGGAAAGCAAAGCAGATTTAACCAGGTGAACTAGCCAGTCTGTCTCAGTAATTTTAGCCTTTTTGAAGTGTTGATCTACTCTGTACTTAAAATATTTACCATAAGTTAAGACTATATACACAGACATTTACAAGGTTTTGTGCCCTTCAAGATTATGCTTTAGCTCACTGACTCTCTCAGTAGAATCATATCCAACCCCCTGGCCCAGCTCACGACACCCAGAGATTCACACCCTGTGCTTGAGAGCATTGGCCAAACACTGCTTGAACTCTGGCAGGCTTGGGGATATGTGATCACTTCCCTAGGGAGCTGTTCCAGTGCCCAAACACCCTCTGGGGGAAGAACTTTTTGCCTAATATCCAACCTAACCCCCCCAAAAAAGCTTCATGCCATTCCCTCAGGTCCTATCACTGGTCACAAGAAAGAAGAGACAGTGTCTGCCCCTCTGCTTCCCCTTGTGAGGAACCTGCAGACTGTGGATATCATTAACTCTATTCTCCACTACTGTTAGCAAATTGCACCCATCAGAAATCATTCAACAATAACTTGCATGGATTTCTATCACATTTCTATATTGCAAGAGGCAAATAAGCTCCAATTTGTGCCAAGCTGATGAATCAACAATAAACACAGCATGAAGAACAACAGACTAGAGCAAGAGAGCCTGATAGTTACCATTCTCTAACCAACAATAAATGCAGTTATTTTTTATGAACATCAGACTTGATTATTTCCATGGCAGGAGGTCGTGACTAGATGATCTATAAGGTCCATTCCAATCCCTAAAATTCAATGATGCTATGATTCTGAGCACTCCCATCTGACACTTCACTAACTCAGTTTGCAAGGACAGAATATGTGGAGTCAAAGGGCAGAAGTCAAGCTCAAACACTGAAAAACTTGCAGCACAGACCTATCTATGTTTCAGTCTCACTCAAACTTGAAATGTGCCTCAAAACGTCACTCTGTGTTGCATCATATATGATTTGCAAACAATACACAAAGCTCTCCTAAATCAGACTGTGGATGCCAGTGCTAATCTAGAGGGTATATATAAAGAGTGTAAGACAATTTGTTGAAGCAAACTTTCCAGCTCGTCTAGGAATGTATATTAACCAGTAAAAAACACTGCATTACATTGAGTGAGGTAGCAATAAACAAATTCTAACAGCCTGAAGGCAGCACAAAAGAGCACAAGTCTAGCACCAAAGTAGGAAGTAGAGCTTCACTAGAATATTTTTAAGAGGACAGATCATCTTAAAACTTAACAAACTTCTTTATGTGCATGCTTCAGTCAACAGCTTGAAAAAGTTCTTAGAAATAAGTTTTTACATTAAATTTCCTGAAATCCACTGCTTTAGGAGCACCACCCCAATGACCCACAGCTCCAGAAGAGAAAAAATGTTGGGAGATCAGTTTACTGCTTGTGTAGCTGCATGCAAATGGCAGGCAATGAATTCACTTATCCTCACTCCTCTTCAGAAGCAAGTGGGATGCTGCTGATATCCCTATACAAAGAAAGAAATTCTCCTGCATTTTGAAAGAAAAAGGGTTTACTGCTACCACTGCTCAGCTGGAAGGAAGTATGACAACTTCAGAAAGTGTCTCAGCACAAGGAGGTAAATTAGGAGTCCTAATGATGAGGCAAAGCAGGACATTTTCCCACCTTGGTGCTGAGATCTAGAGAAGTTTCAATTGTACAAGATGCTCATAGAAAACATTCACTTTTACATGAAATATTAATGGTGCGTGATCTATTTCTTTTCAAAAGTTAGATGATAATCTGTTCCAGATCTCCTTCCAGAATCTGCACAGAGGCAGCACTGCCAACATTTAGTCACTAAGAATGTTGAGATTTGGGTTTTATACACTGGAAGGGCATAATAGAATTTGAAAACCTACATCAGTAACAACAAACACATGTTTTTATTTTCTAGCCAAACAATTAGAGTACTATTTGGAAGGGAAAAAGAGATAAAAAGAAAATTTCCCTTCTCCACCCTTAGCCCTGTCCTTTTAGAAAAAAATACTCAAGGTAAGCTGAAAGAGAAAGTTGAAAAAGGGAAGAGAGGACAAAGGGAAGAGTAACAAAACCATAAATGGTACAATTTGAAAACCAAGGCATCGTGTTATTCAAACATGACAAATGTTCTGGATAGCTCAGGTAATAGCAAGTTTATTGTACTGAAGCTATCACTTTGTTTATTTTAGGATGACATTGTACCAACCTTTTGCTATCCCAAATTAAAGTACTACTGTTTGAGAACACAAAACTCAAATCACCTCATTATTTGCTTTCAAAAGTGCTCAAAACTCACAGCTATGGATCCTAAACAAAGGAGTTTAGGGGTCTTGTAGGAACAAAAATGGTATTTTCTACACAAATGTGGTTTATCAACTGGCACCAAATATTTCTCCAGATATTGTGCTGAACACAACCTTTTCCTTCCCTCCCCTTCTCCTGAGGGAATGTCCTCCATGCATATTGAAACTACTATTTCCCTTAGTGTTCTCCATAATTATATTCCACTCAGGAAATAAATACCTCTTGCTACAATAGATGAGACAACTACCTGAGGAGGATTGTTTTCTCTCTTACTATGAATTTTCTGTTCACAATTAGAGTGGGCATGCAGAAAACTCTTGATAACTTCCTGTTGACAGTTTTCCAGGTCACAGTTTATTTGTACTGGAATCACAAATAGGCAAAACAATTCTCTCAAGTAACACCATTTAGAGAACTAAGCAATGAAAAATAACAACAGTGCATGAAGCTAGATATTAAGTCATTTTATAGAGACATGGAGAAGTCACATGAGAAAGGCAGACCAGGATTTTTCAAGTTGTGGAGCTTTTTTTCTTGGAAGGATTTCTATACACAGTAAAATTACAATGAACATCAAGCATGCCAAGATTTGTTAGAGTTCTTAAGCCACAAATTCTTTTCAAAATGAAAACTACAGTTATGTTCCCAACTGGAGGGAAATAGTGCCTCATATGGGAAAGGTTGTGTCCGGTTACACTAAGAAAAAAACATGCCAAACTACTGAAAGTCCTTGCAGCTGTTTCAGGGTAAGTGTGTTAACAATGCAGCAGGATTTCTAAAACAATATATCAAAAGACAAAAACACTCCTAAATTCACAAAAAAGGATCTCTTACTCTTTCATTTATCGCATGCTCACGGCCTAAGAACTTTTGTTCTTCCCTTCTTAACTCCTGAAGTTCTCAGTTCCACCCAACACCATTAAGTCAGAAACAG